TATATAGATAATTTCTTATTTTAAAATGTTTGCTATTTTAGGATCTACTAAAGCTATACACGTACATACACTCTGACCCAGTGATTCACTCCTACGGATATACCCAACAGAAATACACACACATGTTCAGCAAAAATGTGTTAGAATGTTTATAGCAGCATTCTTCATAAAACCCCCAAACCGGAAACTGCTAAAACACCCATCACAACAGAGTAAGTAAATAGACTGCAATATGTTCATATAATGCCAATACTACGGAGCAACAAGAATGAATGATCTATAATTACACATAACAATATGGATGCATCGCACCAACGTAAGAATGAGTGAAAGAAGCCACACACAAAGTACACACCATATCGTTTCATGTCAATAAAGTTTATAAACAGGCAAAACATTGGTCAGGATTACTGGCCGTCCTTGACAGCAGTGACTGGAAGGGACCCACAGGGGACCTCTGGAGGGTAGTAGGAAGGTTCTGCCTCTTGGTCGGGGCACTGCGTACACAAGTATGCTCTTGAACACTTAAGGCATGTGCATTTTCCTCTGTAAGTTACACTTTAATAAAAAGTCTTAAAATGTTTGCTAATTTCTCTGTGCTTTCATCTTTCAATATCTGAAGTATATCTACTTAGTATGTTTAAATTTCACATATGGCTAAAACTTTGAATCTTAATTTAGCCTGACATACTACTGAAGCATGTTTCAGTATAAAAAGGTAGATCAACATGAACATGTCCTAAAGCTAACATGTGCCTTAGGATCCTACAAAAGTTAAGGAGACCCTTCTTTGGTCACTTTGGAGTTGCCACTGACCCAGGACAGGAATCCCCCCTACAAGAACTGGACCAAATGGACCTTTAAAAACTACTTCAGTGCCAGTTCTACTGTAAGACAGTTCCTTATTATAAACCAATCTAAAAGTTGAGTTCTAGCACAATGTAACACCAATCCCCAGACCGTCAAATAACTGCCACAGAAATCACTTTGGGAAGAGTTCTACATCCATGGCTGACTAAACATTCTAGTTGCTTGAACTTAAAGCTACATTTTCCCTCTACCCTGTTTAACAAGCTGTTTCCTGGACCAGTGGGTATCATTCCCTGAGGTGCCTAGAGAAAAACTGATACCCAGGCACCATCCTGGATAAATTAAAGGATCAGTATTTATTCTAACATAATGCTTTAAAAATCTGCATCTTTGAAACCACCTTCCCTCTCCCCAACTGGGTTGTAAATATGTATCCAGGTTTGTGAACTCTGCCCTAGACTTTTTTATTCTCTAAACCTGATCCACCTCTAAAATCAAACTCGGAAACAGTACTCCTTTTGCCCTTTTAACTTACAAACTCTACTAACCCTACTCAAGGTGCCACCCAGTCTTTCAACACCTTGGCAGCTTTGGCTTATACCACAGGTATTTTCCAATAATTCCCAGGGTTATGAAACCATCACTGTCATTTCAGACTACTCTTGGTCCTTGACAGGGATCTAAATCTACTACTTGGGAAGAATAGTCTGATGAGAATTCTAATCTGATTTACACAGACCAGGCTCAAATCCTGGCTCTACCACTTACTAGCCATGTAAGCTTGGGCAAGTTATGAGCCTCTTTGAGCCTCGGTCATCTCAAATGTAAAATGGAAACCATAACAATACCTACATTTCACTGGGTTGCACAGTAACTGTAACATAGCTAGTATTCAATAGATGACAGCTCCTTACATCTTCTGCTGCAGTGACTACTGTGTGCCAGGTAGTGTACCAGATTTTTAATAGTGTACATTGCTATTACAGCAGAAATTCTAAAACCTCTTCAGCAAAAACAAATTGTGATTTAAAAAAAAAATTATAAAGAGTAAGACAATAAAAGCTAATGAACAGACTCAAAGTTACATATATTTCCCAAAA